CCCAACAAAGCAAGCCAAAACTTTGACCATTTGCTGATGTCCAAACAGTCAACTAACAACAGGTTGGACTTCAATTAGCTGTAACCTACTGAGAAGAAAAAACACCAAGCTTTTATTTTATTTCTTTCCTCGGGGAATGAGAAATGGATGCTCAAAAAAACACAGGGAGAAACAACTCCATGAAATTAAGAAATGAATGGCTTGGAATGTTCATCGTTTGTAGCACCTATTTTCTTACCTTTCTGAATTAACACTAGCCTGGCCATTGCCTTCTGCTCGATTCTCATCTCCCCGTCGTGCTCCATCTGTGCTTTCTCCCGTTGAGGTGGATTTCTCTGGTAGAATTTCAATCGATTCAAATGGTTTTGGAATTGTCGTCTGCATGCTGTTTGGCAGCGGCAGCAGAGGAAGTGAACAGTGTCGTTCAGTCCATGCTGGCCACGTTTCCGGATATTGAATTAGCATTAACAGCTACCTCCTTCAGTTTGACACTCTTTCCTTTGCAGTGGTGGGTGGTTGTTTACAGCACAGGTAGGCTTTTAGAGCAGCAAACTAGAACACTACAGACGACTCCACTACATGTTAGCCATTGGATAAAATCAAACATTTCAAGAGAGTCCACATCCCAAGACAGCAAAAGGGTCCAGACCCTCTGGACGAAGTGAAGAGCAGAACAAGAAACGCTAAGAAACGTGTTTTCAATTAGCAAATTAAACTCCATTTGTTTGTTTGGTCGGCATACGTAGCAAACACCCCAAACCGGTGGAGAATGACGTTCCGCAGCGTTCAAACGGTGATGCATGAGGTTTTCAAAAATGATGTTTATGGGTTTCCTCCCCTCCAGCAGAGGGGAAAAAAAACAAACAAATTCTGACTCCTCCTTTTTGCTACACCTCCTGCTGTTAGATGTTGAAACCCTTCTGCTATCCGTCCAGCATTTGTCATAGCGCTTTCTCTCTCTTCCATCATCTCACCCCCAGATCCCCCCTTTTGCTTAGTGGAAGCTGACCTCCCCGCAAGCTTTCCTCCAGATGTACACCTCCTCTGACACCGCAGCTGTCCAGCAAGCCCTGCAGCTCTTCAACGCGACCCTGTTTGTCAGTGTGCAAATGAGAGTCAGTCAGTATTACCTTGGTAAGAAAACATAACTGATTAGCAGTGGGAGCCGAAGGTTTAGAGAACTATTTCAAGACATATTACATGTCAGAGTTGGGGGTGGGGGTACTATAACTTAGTGCAAGCCGAGTTAGCTGTGTGTGTCTCTGTGCTCCATTGTCGTACTCAAATAAACATTCAACCAAAAAGGAATCAATCTTTTTCGTGTTGTCGTTGTCAAATTTGCTTCAAAAGACTCTTGAGATTTTCAATCGAACATGCAGTTACTTTATGGGGTTAAAATGAAACCGTATGTGTGTGTAAGTGGTAAAAAGAATAATAATTTTTAAAAAATCTAAGGGAAGAATATTTAAGCAGTAACTGTATCCCTTTTGAAACTTCCTTGCCCCACACTGCTCCTCCGTCAGAAGGAGGGGATCTATTCAGGGGCTATTTCTGTAACTGAAACCAACAAGCCGACCCTACGCGGTGATTTGTCAGAGTCTGAAAACGGGGGCCGTATTTTAATCTGTTTGGACAAGTCTGGACAAAGTACTTCTGTCGCGCTGCCAACAAGACATGTTCCTTAACCTGGAATTTTCCCAATTCAGATTTTTCTCCCCAGTTTCGCTGATGGTTTGAGTTGACACCGAATGTCCTTAAAACCAATTTTTAAGTGTTGACATGCAACTATGATTCCCCCACCTCATTTCCAGTAACTTGCTGGACCTGATGCACTTCGCTTATTTTTGGCTACAACTGTGCGATTGCCTGCAACTGGGATCCGTAGCAACTCAATGGGTTTCGGTGAATCGAGATGTGATGGAAACATCTTTCTGACGTTGGAGACGAGCATCGGCTGGCTGTTCAACTCAGAGGGGCCAGAAGCTGCTGATCTCCTGGGATTTTCGCACACAGCCACTTGTCGTGTCAGCAGAAAATTGTCTGATGACATTCAGGATACAAACGTCTTGTTGATGTGAGAGCTCAAAGGAAAACAGGCAGACCAGAACAGTAGAAATAAATGCTTTTGACACATTGAATGTTGAAGCAAATGGGTCACAGCAGAAGATCATGCCACTTTTGTCACTTGAACAGAAAATCTACAATTTGCTCATATTTTAAAAACTATACAATAACACATTAGACTAAAAAACCCCTGATAATTCCCAATTCAAAACCAGAGTACAACAGAGTAGGAGGCTGGTGAGTGTATATGCTGATGACATGCTCTTCTATGTGTCAAATCACTATACCTCACATGTTATTATTGCTTAAATCTGTAGCATGTAGCCTTATATGCAGCTGGTGGTTTGCCATTCATGCCGCAGACCCAATAGAACATGTGTTTAGTCTTTATTGATTAACAGCATAGGTCATGTTTTAGGAATTCAGCCAGTTAGGAAACATGTTCAGTGTATTCAAAGTCAAATCAATTCTCGAGCCATTTCAATGTTCTCCAGTGAGCTAAAACCCACTTATGACAGAGCAAAAACAATGTGCAGCTATTATTATTATTCGGTTTTTATTTATAGTCCTACAATAAAAGACGAGAAATGTATAATATATACCAAGAGGTTCACTGCCTTCCTTCACCAGGAATATTTTAAAAGATTTTTTTTCTTTTGGATGATATCAGTCAAGTAACAGGTACTCAATATATAACTGCCTAATCTGTTAGGGGAGACTTTCGACCTTCTAAAATAAGTAATATTTTCCCAAGCTTTACTGTTTGTTCAGGTGGATTATTACTCTAAACCACATAAACCACATAGATATTCACATAGTGTGCATTTTACCGGTCCATCGGTAAAAAATATTGCATGCATGCCTTCCATGCATCTGCTGTGTCCTCAACATGGCCTCTGACAAACTGGGAATGGGACTTTGTTCCACCCGCCCATAAAGGTCGGCGCTGAGTACCGCTCACAGCCCCGCTTTTAAATAAAAGAAGAAGTGAAGTGGGAGCTTTAAAGCCCGCACAAAGCTAAGTGAAAAGCTTGGAGTGTAAAACGCTCACAGCTGTGGTGGTGAGTCTTTAATGATAAGCAGTCTTTCTTCATTCCTCGCAGTCTTTATAGCAATCCGTTTTCAGACCCTGGAAGAAAATAACCCTCCCAGCCATTCCTGCAAAGGAGACCGAGACACGAAGCCTGGGGACTCTTTTTGTTGTGTTTAATTATCTGGCATATTTGGACGCTCGCACCGGATTTTGCCTCACTGCATTGCAGAGTCTGAACCAGCATGGTAGCATCGGCTTAGGCCCTTAACTTCGTGGCAATACAACCAACAGCTGTTCACACAAAACCCTGAAGCCACACCTGGCGCTACATGCAAAGAGAGATGGGATCATGCAAAGAGAGATGGGATCTGCAGAATTACTAGTTTTCCTCTGGGGGATCATAAGTGTAAAATTTTGTGTGGTTTTATTTCTTCTTTAAACATTATTATTTAGTCTTATCATGCCACCTTACTTGTCCGTGTTTAGTTGCCGTGACTGTCACATTTGAGGATACACCGTTTTTTTGTTGTTGTTGCTTTTTTTTTTTTTTTTGCTTAACTCAATCCATCTGTGTCTGGGGTAAATGAAAAGAAAAAAAAAACCTCACCTCAAATTATTTACACATTTGTACATGTGTTTATGTGTTTAAGTCTGAACATAAAAAGAACAAACAAAAGTTCTGGGCGCAAATTTCTGTTTTCATCAGCCTAAGTTGAGCCTCTTTGTTTTGCGTTAACAGACCAGGAATAGGCTACAGAGAACAAGAATGAGTTAATTTTATTGTTTTGGAAACAGGTCTGGGTGAAGGTTTCCTCATAACAAGCAAAGCATTTTCCACATACCTTCTGGTTAGCTCCTGGTTTTTATTCATTTAAAGGTATCAGACGTAAAGAATTTTTGATAACTTTTGACCTCACGTTGATCTTAACCAGCAACCGGCATCATGCAAACAATCTGTTTTGAGGAAGAAGTTAACCCAATGGTCAATATTCAGCTTCGACAAACAGGATAAGTAAACGATGATTCAGATTTTGAAATCACTCTCAAAACCGCAGGTGCACACAATCAAACATCCCTTCTGCTGTTCATGAAAGAATGGGTCGCTTTCATGAGCTGGGTGGCTCGTACCGTGCAATAACTCCATTTGTAAAAGAAATCCTTAAAATTTAGCCGTCAACTGTTAGCGGTTTCGTAATGAAGTTAAGGAGCAAAAGCAACGCGGGCATGGAGTGGTAGGTTATGTAAAACCACAGAGTGGAGACAGTGAATGGTGAATGAAGTTGCCAACTGCCTCCAGAGTCAGTAAGTACAGACCAATAAATGTGGTGAGGCCTTTGATTAGCTTAGAAACGGTACAGAGAGTCCTTCATGGGTTTGGATGGAATGACAATTTACATTACCAAGAGCAATAAAGAGCTGGATGCAATGGTGCAAAGCACACTGCCGCTGGACTCAGCTCGAAGAGTGGAGATGTGTTTCATAGAAAGACGAATCGCTCTTTTCTGTCAGGCAGTCCGGTGGACGATTCTGGGTTGATGCTCGTCAGGACAATGTTACTTCTTGACTGCAGTCAGCCAAGTGTAGAGTGGGGTGTATGGGGGTATAGAGTTTAGTTTTTTCAATGAGAATGAGAGGAACGGTTGGTGTTGAAGCACACAGACATTTTCAACAATTCGCTGATCATCTCATGATTCGTGAGAACAGTTGAGGATGGCACTTCCTGTGAACTATAGACCTTCGTTCACTGTTCAGGAAGACTGAGAAAGTCTGACCCTGAGTTAACTTAACAGACCACCTTTGGGATGTAAATGTCCAACATCAGTGCCTGACCCCAAAAATACTCTGTTCAATGAATGGTCCAAAATATTCATAGATAGACATTTACAATCTGTTCGTTTGATCGTTTTTCAATCCATTTCACCCTTTATTCAGCCTAAAGACATTGAAATGATCTTTTTCACAAAAAGTTCCTGACCAAGACTGTACATCAAAAAGACAAAATTCAAAATATGAACACACATAATACAAGTTGTAAAAGCAGAATGTAAGGAGAACAGTCTTGACCATAAAAATAATTTGACTATGTACCATGCTTGGTGGAATAAATATTTCTCAGATGTGTTTCATGCAGCTCTACTTTTTCTCATGAGCCCAACTAATGGAGAACTGTTCAGGGAAAGGGAACATAGAACAAAGCAAACACATTCTGCATATTTTAAATTACATACATTAAACACATTCAATTTACACTCTTTCAAATTAAGACAGTTGTTTTTTTTTGTGTGTTTTTTTAGAAAAGAAAGACCAGCTGATCCTTTTTGGATCGGGCTGAAAACATGCCAGAAGTTTTCTCCTGTGCTGCCATCTAAAGGGGATCTACTGCAAAAGGTTCTGGATCCCTGCAGCCGCATGAGCGACACCAAAGTCCTACATCTACTTTGGGCTGGATCCATTACTTGATCTCAGTGGGACAAAGCAACAAATATAGCCATTGGCAACACTTTGAGCAACACTGGCTTTATTAAGAAATACTTTCACGGGGCCAAAAAAGGAAGTCAGAATACTAAACAATACGACAGAAACCAAAGTAAAAGGAACAGCTCCTTTTACAGGTTAGGTAGGCAGTTTATGTCGATGCCATTTTGTGAGCTTGTGGTGGGAAGTTGTCAGTATCAAACAGATTGAGTGTCACACAGAGAATGAAGACAGGAAACATTGTGCGACCAAACGTCTTTCTTTGTGAAACGTACAAAAAACAAAACGTTTGAGGTTGTTTTTGTTTTGTTTTTTTGAGCGTGGGAAAAGAGAAGAAGAAAAAATCTATTAGAAAAGTACATTTAATGAAGTACCATTTACATTAACCCTACATGTGACTGGAGACGTTTCCAGAAGGGACGATGTCTACGTATGTCTCAATCCCTTTCAGAGTAGCTTATATCTTTAGGATTTTTCTGGCTTTTAACTAAATTAAGATGCCAACAGGGTTATCTCCTGATAATGAAACATTACCTGCTCGAAACATTTTTGCAGGACCTCACGTCAAAACTCTTTAACAGACACGTACTAGTCAGACTTGAGGTCAGATTTAGCTTTATCCAGCGATGTAGTGATGATTGTTTCAGCCAGTTGGTGAGCCAGCTGTTGAAGATCGCTTTCATCCGACTCCTGCTGCTTGTTTTTCACGCTCAAGACCCAGCTTAACACGTCACACGACAGAACCTCTGCGAAAGCCTCCACGCCGGCCCCATGCGCCGGCAGGCCGTCTCTCGCCAGGTCGCTTGTCGACAGGGAATGCATGAGCTGCTCCATCAGTTCCACTTGAGGGTCACTGATCACACCGCCCGAGTTGTCCTTGTCTTTTGGAGTCGGTGGAGGAGGAGAGGGCAGGAAGACTTTTGCCAGCCCCCCTTTGAGCTTCCGAGCGAAACTGTTCCTGCTCCGCTCCAACTCCGGGATGAGGGGGGTGGTTGGAGGGGCATCTGGGTAGTCCAGCGAACCGACAGTAGGAAGGCCTGATGGGTACATAGGTGGATGGTTGGACTGAGAGTTTCTGTGGGTCTGTAATTCCCTTAAGGAAATCATCTCTAGTTCCAGCAGGTCCTCTTCTTCTCCGGAAGCGTCCAGAGGGAGCCCATTTTCAGCTTCTTCACAATCGTTCTTTTCAACATCTGATGGTGGAAAGCAGACGTCTTTCAGAGCGACCTCAACGATTGCTGATGCCAACTCCTCGGCTAAGATCTCTGGTGTTTGAAAGGGTTGTAGCGCCTCAGGTTCCAACTTTTCCATTTGTTCTAGAGAGGAGAGGATTATGTTCTCTGCAAGATTGTGGGCGAACTGGTCCAGAACGTCGGTATACATGAGGATTCTTTTGCCAGAGGTTTTGGAAATGGGTTCTCGCCACGTTGAGTCTTCGCTTAGAGTCTGCGTTGGATCCTGCGAAGATAAAGACAATAAGCCACAATGTCTTTATCTGCGAAGATAAAGACAATAAGCCTCAATAAAGAATCCATATTGAACTTTTGCAAACTTTGTCACATTTCATCCTCAAACTTTAGCATACTTTTGGAGATTTTATGTGATAACCCAATACAAAGTGCAACACAAGTCTTCAGTAAAAGCTAGAAAAAGGTTTGAATGAAGAAAATTTAGTCTTACTTTTCGTCAATACTCTTAGGGAGTACTTTGTACTTTTTTAACACATGAACAAGCTTTGATCTGAACTATTTCCATCTATCTTTGCGTCAACGAAGCTCGTTGTTCGTTATGAATGAAGTCTACATATGTAAGTTTGGTCTGTTTGTCTGAGGAGTTCACCTAATAAGAATTTTTATGGCTTTTTTCCATAAGAGAGAGGTTTCCATGGTTCTTCCACGTGAGCAAGATTTTAAAATCATATACCAGTGTGCCAATCCAAAAGTAGTTTGTTGCACCGAGTTTCATTGTGGGACATCTAAGTAATACAACGGTCGGACAACTTTTCTGATTTCTATTCGTGAACTGATTTGAAACTGATTCGTGTTGGTCTTTCAGGTGAAATTCAAACGAAATGCAAGTTTGTGATGGCACTACGTGAGTTTTAGCATTTAAAAATTCCCAGAACTTTTACTTTTACAGAAAGAATTGAGCTAAACGATTTTGTTTGAAGGCTTTGGCTGCAATATTTCTAATTAAATCCAAAAATAAACAAACAGAGAAAGTACAGTTAAAGCATAGCAGGATACACAAATGGTGCCTCAGCTCTCTTCAGGGTATGAGTCTGCTTCGATTTAGAGAAGAAGGAAGAAAGCGGATAAGCTACGAATAGACAGAAAGCCTCAAGGAACTTCAAAAGAGAGATCTGAGTCAGGAATCTTTCAAAGCAAGAGAAAGACCAGAGAAACAGAGAGTAAAGGAAGTCCCCCTCTGAAGCTCAGGATGGAAAGTAAGATAAGGGCCTCAACCGCAGCCTGTCACCAGATGAGCTGTCAGCCAGTCCGGATGTGACAGGCAGAAAGTTCAGTTCAAAATTGCTGCGGCTCAAATTGCTGGCCTCGGCGACAGCAGCAACCTGTCTCTCTGCGGAGCTTTTGCAATTCCGATGAATTAGGCTAGGAAAGCCTAATTCATCGGAAAACCGATCATGGGACAAACATCCAAGTGTTTCGTCATGACCAAGACAAGTATCCTGAAACATATTTTATGCAAACAACAACATAAGTCATAAAAGTGTCACAGATCCACACAGACTGCATGGCATGGATCAACCAAGGAGGAGGAAGTTTTCTAAATGTGGGATCATTTTGATCTTATTGCAGAATGAGGTAAATTGTTATTCTGTTCTCCTTCTCACTTTTGATCATTTGTCTTTTGGATTATCCCAATTCCTTTCTACAGGATATTTGAGTCAGTTAAATGAGTGAACTTTAATTTATATTGCAGCTGAAATAGGGATTTGCTCCCAGTTTTTGTCTCACTGTAACTGGAGCTCTTCCACGATGCTGAGGCTTCGCCGTCAATTCCAAGAACAGTAGTTCTTCATATTAATGTGCAAACTTTTTTCAAGCCAAATCAGTCAGATTTCTATTTTCAAGGTACTTTCTCTGATACTTTTGTGAAATTGATTGTCATCCAAAGTGAACAATGAGGTCATTTTTTGGTTTTATGACAACATGTGCCTCCAAATCTTCGGGGTAGTAATAAACTCTAAAGTTCAGTTTTGTAACTTTTTGTAGATGGTCATTTTGTTTTAGCTAAAGACAAGGGAGACATCTACATTTTACACTTTTAAAAGATAAGACTAGAGTAGGTTTTTCTTTAGATAAACTTCAACTAAATGCAGCGCAGATTACAATGGAGCCATCTACATGTAGAGTCTTTATCATTCTGTAAACTTTTATGGCAAACTAAGACAAAAGCAGTACATCTTTCCTCCCCCCCCCCATCTTCTTCCACTGCAAACTAGCATTTCGAGCATCGCCAAAGGCAGCCCGCGGATTTTTAATACCATAAACCAGTCGCTCAGCAAACACGTTTCCAACATTTTAATGGCTTGTTGAACTAACACCCCGTCATCTGATCAGACGATCTCTGCCCGTCTTTTGAAACATACAGACTGTGAAGGGCAGATGTGGAGCAGATTGCAGCAAGAACAAAGAATGTCTTCTCCTGACAGTGAGAGTCGTAAACTCTGACGAGGTAGAAGGTAGAGGAGCGTCCGTCAAATTTGGGACGCTCCTCCCAAGTCATGTTATACAGGCCCAAACACAAAGTGTTGACTCTGAGCATTGTGTCGTTAATTTAATGACACCAGGGCACCTCTGTTGGAGCTTTCACAGGCAACCAAATGCACTACATGCGCATTAAGTACAAAGGCAGTTCTAAGTGTGTTTGGTGTTTGGCTGAAACCTCACTTGACCTTTAAGAAAAGCTTTATTTATTCCCCTTTCTTTCCCTCTGGTTCGTCTGTTGAGAGGGAGCGAGGGGGAAGCAAAAACCTCCTCTGCAAGAAGCTATTTTAGGTTTGTGTGAATATCCCAAACCACCATTTCCTTCATAAAAAAAACCTGACTGAAAATAAATTCAAAAATGCCTCAAATAAATGTTAACAAACACGTAAGGCTGTCAGAACTAAACAGAAATCGATTGTATTGAGAGTGGAAGGTAGAAAAGGCAATAAAATATAAAGTGAAAATACAGAAAGAATCCTGAGAATCAATTTGATGTACGATATGTTACGTATATGAAGCTTGAAACAGCTTGAAAAGAAAGACAGGTGAAGAAACTGACTGTCTGAACTCTATTGGCATGTAGGCGAACTTACCACATTGGAGCTTGGTGCACAGTGTCTTCAGTGGAAATGGGTGACATGGGAAAGGGTTCACCAGCTTTGCTCACTTCCTGTAAGTTTCTGCAAGCGTACTTGTGCGTGGGAGGAGCCGTTTTAAGAAATGTACAGCACTGAGAAGCAAATAGGAAGTGGCAGAGGACTGCGTCGTACTGTCAACGTAACCGGTTTCTTTTTGCTCCGTCAAAGTTCAGAGAGCACAAGCTTGTTAAGAACACGTTTGTTTCCACTTTTGTTCAAGCTTATTCATTGACCTGTAGGCTTTCAATGTCTTGAGTTTGATAAATATGTGAAAATGGAAAAGTGGAATCTAGAAACCAGGCGTGCAGCTGAAAGCTGACGAGCGACGACGCTGCATGTCGTCACCTTCCGAAAAATAATGGGCCGACTTGTTGTTTTGTTAAAAGAGATTGTTTTTGATTTGCCTAATAGATCTTTTTTGGGGGAAAAAGTGGGTGGTGATTTTCTTTCTCTCTCTTTTTTTCAGAATTAGGACTTAGGCCATTGTTTTAGGAAGGTGTGGATATGAAACATCAAATTCTGCCTCTGCATAACATGATGGAAACCTGAGAAAAAAGGTCTGAGAGAAATAAGGAGGAGAAAGTGAAAAGTAGGAAAAGTTGTTTATGGAGGCCTGATCCTGCCATAATTAGGTAGAAGTACATAAATAAATAAATGTTCACCAAATAAATAAGCACATGTTTAAATATGTAAAACATAAAGTAAGTAAATAAATAAATGTTGGCAGTACTTAAACTACACAACTGAATTTGATATTACAGCCTAGAACCTGTGTGTTTCTTTAATAGTTGTAAATGATTTTTGCATAAAAATATCTGAGCTTTGCGTGTAAAAGAGTCTAGATCCTTCCCAATTTCCTAGTTTTTCGTTTTGTTTTGTTTTGTTTTTTGCTGTTTGTCATGCTAAAAAATATCAACCAATTCAAATACTGGTTAAAAACACACAAGTAAACAAAATCAGGCCTGAGTTATAAACCACAGGGTGGGGTAATCACTTTTAACACATGGCTGCTTGGGTCTGATTTTTATTTTTTTTTTCCTTCCACAATAATAAACACTTTAATTTAAAAACTGTGTTTTTGGGGTGATTTTGTGTGTTGTCTTTGACTCATGTCTAAATTGGTTTGGTTTTCAGAAACACTGAAGTGGGACAGATCTGTGAAAAAAAAACAACAAAAAAAAAACTAAGACTTTTACACGCCATCAGATTTAGATGTGTTTCGTGTCAAAAAAAAAAATTTAAATTAAAATAACTAAAATAAAGCATATTATTTATTTTTTTTCTTTCTTTTGGACACACTGAATACAAAGCAGAATAAGCAGAAGAAACTCAAAACCGTTGGCGATGATTTGTAGATCCCTGGTTTGTGCATTCCACATCTGGTCGTTGAGGCAGTTCAACGTCCCAAATGCATTACAGAAGCTGCCCTTGAACCGTTTCCACCAAAAAACAAACAAAAAAAAAAATCCCCTGAACTTCACGTCCAAACCCCGCCCAGTTATATATTTTTGTATCAAACGATCTGCGGCATTAGGTACATGAAATGATGTATGTTCAGGGTTTGCTCAGAGGAGACATACGTCTTTCTCACAGGTCAAAGAAAAAAAAAAGTCTTGGTTTTAGCTTGAATTTACTCCTATCCACGTAAAAAGAGAAAATAAATAAAAATTACGGCCTCGGTTCTTGATACTCTGACATGAAGCCAAACTTCTGGCAGAGAGATGCTCGTTTGCTGCCAGTTTCCTCTCTTTCTCCATCTTCACCTGTCCTTGGAGTGTACGCAAAATTTCATGACCATATATTATCTAAACTGCTGATGCAACTCCCTCTGTGTTTCCACGTCCCAACAGGCCAATTATTATTCTGTATTTCTGGAAACACTTTACAACGCCCTCAACCTGTGACAAAGAGGTGTAAAAACCCAAAGTCTGAGGCATCCTATTTTGTTGCCTGTTGTTCTTGGTTTTAGCTAAGGGAATGCTCATCTTGTTTATGACATGTATGAAATAACAAGTAAATTACTTGTCTCTTTTCTTTCTGCCACTTTTTACTCTGTCATATTTACACTACAGGATGTTTGGATGAATATTTGAAAAGTCTTAGTCTCAAGACCATCTTTCTTCATGTGAGCATTTCCATACAATGACTAAACAAACTAATGAGAAGTATGTATTTTAAAGTAAGTGTAGTGAAGACTTTTTCTCTCAGCAATTAAAAAGCACATCTGCATCTGAAAGAAATCAAAAGGCACTCTTTGAAAAGTTTAAAGTAGATTGATTCATTTACTCTGTACCTAAACGATAACAGGTGGACGGAGAACACGTGTGTGTGTGTGTGTGTGTATGTGTGTCCCAGGATGACAAGGTTACTGCTATTTAAAACCTCCCCGAACAAAACATCAACAAATCTCTCAAGGCGTGAATTCCTATTGGTTGTCAGGAGGTTTGAATGCGCTTAGAGCTCCTCCCTGTTTCTTTAAGGTGTGTTTGGTGTCGAACAGGCGGGTTCACCGTCATTTTCAGAAACATGCTGCATTTCGAAAGGAATAGTCATTTCCTGTATAAAAGAGATTATTTTATACATTAAATTTAAGCAATTAAAATATCCATACAATGTTTTTTTTCAAACTATATTTGTGGGCTAAAACACGTCAATTAGATGTTTTTTTTTTTTTAACTCCGCCATCGTTCACCGGTCGGAGCTGGTACCTATACCCAGCGCTCCTTGTCAAACGGCATCCTGCTCAGCTTCCTGATTGGTCCGTTTGGCTCAAATTCTAGCCAATGAAAGCAGGGCGCAGGAGATTCAGATCCTCAGCTGAATACGCTGCAGACAAGAGAAGCGACGCCGCTAAATTCCAATAAATATTCCAGAAAATGCTGCTCTCCGCTGTCTAAACTGGATTTAACAGAGTGAAGCGCACTAAGGTAAGACGAAACTTCGTCGTCTTCGAGCCGCTTCGAGGAAACCCCGCCCGTCACGCGCAAGCTCAGCCACGGAGACTCCCCTTCATGCGAGCGAGTTTAAACTAGCCCCTGCGCTGAGAGTTGTTTGTTGTTTTCTCGCTTTGTTTTTGGCCTAAGTGCGCCGTTTCCCGCTCTCCTTGTGTGCAATCCGGACAGTTGTTTTCGCGGGATAAAGGTGAACGAAGCTGCCATGCCTTTCACAAGAGGGAAGAAACATAAAGAGGCCGCGGGGAACAAGGCGTCCAAGGGGAACACAGCGGCCTCGGAGAACCAGGTGAGGGGAACGGGAAACGCAGTGACCTTGCACGTGCTACAACGACGGATTTGCTTGATTCGTTGTGCTGCCCGTGTTTCAGGAAGAGGCCACTCAGGTGAAGCGGACCTCGTCTCCTCCCCACGGAGCTCCCAAGAAGAGGACTGCCTTCATCGACATCACCAATGTGAGCGCTCGCTCTCTCTCTCTCTCTCTCTCTCTCTGTGTGTGTGTGTCTTTGGAGGAATAATACAGCAACTTGCTCACTGGGCCTGAAAAGTAGCATTAAAACTTAGAAGAGATTCAATGTATCAAGTATTGGCGATACATTGCATTGCATCGCCAATATTTGATGCTAGATTTATTTTTTATTTGTTTTAGGAAAATCATTGAAATACGTGCAACGGTTGCCATCATTTGGTGCAACTTTCTTTTTTTGTGATGCACTGACTGCATTGTAGACTTTCACATCTGTTTCTTTTTTATTTTTTTATTTGGGGTCCAGCTGTGCTTTAATTAATGCTGCTTTCCAGTTACCTCGGAATTCAGAGCTGAGTTCTACATCAAATCCGACATAAGGCGTCTTGGTTAAAAAGTCTTATTTTCAACATGGCGCCGCCCAGAGATGATGTTCGCAGTGTCTCTTAGAAAACATTTTAAGCTTTACTCTTCATATGCTTTGAGTTAGAAGTGCTTTTTTAAAAATTCACTTTTATATATGTTTGCGATAAATAAACATGTCCCCCCCCCTCACGGCTTACTGTTGGGGAGTGGAGCCATGTTGAAACGCCAAGTTGATGGTAACGGAGGGTAGTCGTGGTCATCACTACTCTGTGTGTCTCAGTCAGGTTAAATTGATCAATATGAAATTCTTCTTTCAGACTTTAACAACTCCTCAGGACATAGATTTTTATTTATGTCACTTCTTGAAATTCTTATCCAATCTGTCTCCAGGCTCACAAGGTGACGATCAGCCTTCCAGGTAGGAAGAGGGAGTCGGCGAAGAAAGTTCAAAAGAAGACCAACGCCGCCTCGGTGCAGTCAAAGAATCGAACAAACCTACAAAAGTACTTTTTAAAGAAATTCCGGGTTTAGTTTTCGCCGTCGTCCTTCTCGCTCGTTGCCTTTACCTCGCAGTGTCTCGCCTCCCGCAGGTCGTCATCCGTGAGCTCCGAGGGATCGCCGGCCGAGAAAGAGAGGTCCGACGTAGAGGAGAACAAGAAGAGCGAGGAGCCGCAGAGGGATGACTCGTCTCCGGCAGAAGAACCAGCAGATGTTTTATCCCCTGCTGCCCGGGAAGTGCCGGCACACATCCAGAGGCAGACTGTAAGAAGAGGCGCACATTTCTAAAACTACGTTCACACGGCAGGTCTTGATGCTCGACTCCGAAAAGCGACACGCGTAATGATGGGCAGAATCGTTTATGGATCCATTTTTAAAGTCTAATCAGTAATGGGAACTGATGATATTATGACAAGATGAAGGAAGCTAATGGAAAAGCCCAACTACTAGCAATGGTCTTGTGGAGCATCAACAGCAATGTCAGTGGAGAAGTCTGTTTGGATGTGCAGTTAGAGTGGTGGGATTGTGACGTGATGCGCTTCAGTGTCTATAAGTTCATAATTATAATTTCTAGCCGCCGTTTGTCTGGATTTACCGAGCCTGGCTTCTTCTGGTTCATAAAAATTGCACACGTCTCATCAATGGCAAAAAAATTGTTTAAAATGTGATATGTCCATGCAAAGATTGGAATCGATCCGTTCAGTTGGAGTTGAAATTTGGGTCGTTTTT